GCCTCTCGACAATATGCGTTTTTGCTGGCTGTAGCTAGCGCAGCTACAGCCAGCAAAAACGCATATTGTCGAGCAAAAAAGCATAAAAAGCGATGTTTAGCCAAGCAAACCGAAATGCAGAAAAATGAACACAAAATAGCGGTGCAGTTGGGCCGGAGGATGAATGGAGCAAGAGAACTAACCGGCGGCGATTTCGCGGAATTTCTCCTCGGCGTTCGGCTCCTTGTTCCGGTCCGGGTGGTACTTCAGGGCCAAATTTCGGAAGGCTTTCTTGATCTGCGCACTGGTTGCGTCACGTTTCACGCCCAGCACCTCGTAGTAGTCACGGGCGAGCACCTGCACCAGCAACAGCAGCACCAGCAGCGCAAGGCCCAGCAAAGCGCGCATACCCCCACAACTGCTCTCCTCATTCGCCGTGCCCAGCATAACACATCATCGCACACCACTGGCCCTCCTTATGCAACGTCAGCTTATTCAAATTCGCCTCCGCCACTGCAACACATCCAATTCACGTGCTGTTGTCAGCGACCCGACCACATATTCGAAGAGGCCAGGAACAAGAGAGGGGCGGAGGAGGAGGGGGGTCCCTCTCCGCTTTTTGTTCAAAAAGTTATAAAAATTCTTCCCATTCCCAGAGGAATTAATTTGCATTCCTATACAATACATTTCACAGTCTCAAGAAAGTTGTTCGCCAGTACTGCATTGTCGGAAGACCGCAGCACAGATTTGCAGCTAGCACCCCAAAAGTGTTTTGCAATGAGCAGCAACGTGCAGGATGTCATTCTGACCATGCAAGAAAGTAAAATCCGATGGGCAGGACATGCTGCTTGCCTTAGCAACAATCAGTGGACGACGCGCACTTGTTCATGCTACGTGCGAGAAAGTAAACGACCACTTGGACGGCCCCGAAGGGACGGCGCACATACATCGAACAGGCGGTAATACTAACTGAAAATATGCATCGTAGGGGATCGAAGGACCAGGCATAACTGCGTCCAACGTATGCGAACTTGCCAGTAACATCTGTAACAGGGAACATCTGCGCTGATATCCCCAGCGGTCCTAGCTTTGTTCGCCAAGTCTATTAAATAAAAGGTGTAGTAGAAGTGTCTTTTTTTTTCTCATCCTCTTCTACAGCACCCATCGTTAGATACCCTTTTAATTAACCCCCCTCCCCCTCTTCCCCCTCAAGTTACCCCTACAATGCAGTATCCCATGAAAGCTTGCGGTAAAATTCACTCCCGAAAAACGCACCCTCCACGCGACTGTATTAATTTTTGGGAGCTATTTTATCGTGGTTTCACTCGTTACTTTCTGGAACCCCGGATTCACAGGGTCAGTGTTGGTATAGGGGCCAGTTATGGGGTTCCAGAAGCCAGCAATATTGGAGCGGGAGGGGAGTATCTTTGAAAAGTGAGGTGCTCACTATGAAGAAACTTCTGCTTTGCTTCCTGGCAGTAACCGGTGCCGGACTGGGCAAGTTCAGGAGTGCGAGCATGGTCCCCTCTTGGCCAGACATCCACCTTTACAGAACGCATTCCTTAGCTCGAATGAGGGAGGAAGAGAGCTTTCACTTGGAGAGCTGTCGATCACGAAGAGCCATCCAGGAGGTCATTAGGTTACCGCGACATGCGGCTGCTGCTGGAATAGCCTCGGGGGATGCAAGCAAGACAGTTTCAGCTAAAGGATGAAACTGTTCGGTCTGTGT